CAGGGCTATAACGTGGATACAGAAGAACTCCCCGTCCTAGAGTCTCAAAATTTTCCTGAATTTTCTTAGCAAGAGGTGGTTCAACGGTGTCATACAAAAGCAAACTTTGCCTTGTTTTTCTTTCGTATTAAAAGCGTTGCATTCGAGCTGTGGATAGTTGACTTTCGCGTTGACTGCGACATCTACACGTAGGGGTTTCCAGAGCTTAACTCCTCTCGTGTTCCACCAAAAATCCGAGAAGGCCCTACTTGGACGAGGTTGAACTTAAGCAATAAGAACTCCCGAAGCGTTTGAGCTGGACTACCGCCGCTTGTTCATTTGTTAGTAAACTGTACCCACTCCTCATCTTCGGCAAATGTGATGGATGGTCAATCGTAGAATCCCTAGTAAGTCGACTTGAACATAACGGTGTCAGATCGTGTTTGGAGCTGAATCGGGCTCAAGGCACGTGGGGACCAAACTCTACATTTTCGGATCTTCACAAGTCTTTGGAGATGCCACAGTGCTGTCTCCTTGTCGCATCGGAATCGCTCTAGCAAATGATCGATACTCTATCCAGATCCCTTTTCAACGGCGTCAGATAGAGCATCGTGATTGTCAGTCACAGGGTGGTTGGAGTGTGGGTTATTTTCAAATAAAAAAAGTCAACGCTGAGCAGAGTGAAGCGCCGTTGCACTGTGGTTTGAGAGAGCGTGCCCTCGCCTATCTTCTGGCCAATCCTTGGTCTAGCATGACTTGCGGAACATTCCAAGCAGTACTCGTAAAAATTAAGGGCACGAGAGCCCTCTCGCGAAATCGGTGTAATATCCATAATAAGTAAGCAGACAACGAGCTGGACCGTTGGCTGAAATTGCAAAGGTTGATGCTACGTCAGGAAATATGTTGCGGATTTTCAGGAGTTCTCCCTAAAATTCTATAGCATTAAATGTAGTTTGTTGCAAGACTTATGGACCGACCTAATAAATATGTCTTGATACCAAAACAGGATAGGTTCTTTTGTCAGGTAGGAACAATAGGTAATACGCATATAATGGTAGAAGCTCACTATCTGATCTGGTGCTTGTATATGTCTGGTTTAGGACGGCGTTCGCTTTCCCTCATCGACGCACTGTTTGGGCGTTTTCATGGTTGGCGTGCAACCGTAACGATCACACAGCATTAGACAAGTATTGATCGTAGCGATAGGATGACCGGTCATGAAAGCCCCTCTGACTCGATGTTAAAACTCAACCCTCCCCAAATGTTACAGATTCTAAGTGGAGTCACGAGTTCAGTGGTGTGGTTTGCATCCTTCTCCCACGCAACCTCGAGAATAAGCCTAGTTTTACTTATTAAAGTTGAGGCATACATCCTAGTTGTACACAACTTTTTATATAAGCTTTTATATCCTCATCTTCAGATTTTGAGAAGAAAAAAATAACAGCCATCGATACTAAACGTTCATCATTCCCTTTTCTGTGAAACAAACTTTCTTCTAGTGGCGGCGTTTGTGCGAATATCGAGTTCTTTTATTTTAATTTTTTCATGGAAGCGGGTCATCAATATGCTGTTTGGCAATGAATATATGTATTCTGAAAACAATGATGTGTATGGATATTTGGAAAATGATCAATGTCAAGGAAACAAGCATAACTGCTCCGTCTGAAATGGCAGGCGGAGACTAGTTCTGAGGCACCTAGCTGATTCAACACCGGATCATTTTTCGCTGAATAGTTGAATCGGTCGAGTGCTGAGCAGAAGTTGACGGTCGACTGGAAATCAATTGCTTTTTATAAAAAAAATATTACTTTTTGTGCACATTCCGTGGTTCTACAAGTATAACACAAATTCAGAGTTCAGTTTGACTTATCTCGCAACTGTTTGCAATTTGACGTTGTTTGCTTTTTGAGCATTTCGTTGTTATAGGCGAAACCCATGGATTCGGTTGTACAGGCTGGTACGCAGGTGCAGCAGCTGATAAATTTTGTCTGTGTGCAATGAATTGGAAGAAATGCATTAAGCAGACAATCGTCGAGCTACCGTAATGTTTTTTGTAAGAATAAAAGTAGGGGTACTTATTTAGAAATACCTGTTTTTCAGAGACCGAGCTGGCCAAACACACAACTTTGATAAGTCAGTATATCTACCAGTCTTTGTCAACAAGTTTTTCGAACCTACTGAAATGGCATCTGAGCAGTTCTTCACGAGGTACGCCTGCCTTATTATTTGTGTATTATGAAATACAGCTGTCTCAGCGGACCCTGCGACTGTGCGGGACTAACGCTATGGAGAAGAAGAAGTTTATACAGCTGTCTATCACTCCTTTTTCAGATGGCCTTGTGTCAGCCATCGCAAGAGGTCATCAAGATCTTCCCTGCAAAGGTGTCAATGGATCCCAGCACTCGTTACGCAGAAATTGGTTGGTCTGGGCGCGAAACTATTGGCCAATGTAGATCCCAATCCTGATAACTATGTCTGTGCTGGTATAATCCATACGCAAACGCAGCAGATTGGAACTTTGATTCGATTGGAGCCAAACAAGCAGGCCAAGGTAAGACGTGGTTTTTGATTTTTTGCTGCTTTGATCCACATCATGTACAGGATATTCAATTTCCTTGCCTAGACAGGCTCACATTCATATCCAGCAATAAGTGCTGAAAGGTTTGTTCAAGCTCACGCTCATAATGACTCAAACAAGCAGAACTGCGTCTGGCCGCTTAAACATATGCGGATTCCATTGATTGAATGGCTCGTGAAAAGGACAACGTATGAATAGAATGTGTCAAAGAATGGGGACGTCATTTGTAGCCATGCGAAATGTGCTTTTTTGGTCTATACCGGGTAAGCAAAGCGGTGACCACCCGATGTGCTCGGTGTTTTTGTCTTGCCAATTGGAAAGTATCAATCGGCCGCCTCAGAGGGATGGAAGGCTTGGTTGTTCCAGGCAGGGTTTGATCTAGGATTTGATTATGAGCCGTATAAGTGACGCATCTAACACGCAACATCTTCCTTCCGAAGCAGGAATTGCTACAAATAATTATAAGCAGCAAATGGAGCAAATTGTGAGTGCATCTATTAATATATTGAGTCAAGAATTTTGGTCACCTCTTTCACCTGGGAGTGCCGCGCATCTTAACTTCTGAATATTTCCATGTTATGCTCTTATAGCCCCCTGCAATGGCTGGTGAAAATAACCTCTAGGGATTTGATATCAGTTATTGAATGTTTTTTCCTTGGCTTGATTTTTAATCCATCTTAGCCGATCATTCATCAGTTTTTCCTGCAGTTCCTGGATTAGTGTTTTTTGTGTATTGCTGGAAATGACATAGAACATTTTTTAATCTGTGCCATGTATTTCAGATGTACCGTCTGACTGTGCGAAGCAGCAAAGACACCGTGTCAAGCTATCTCGTTGAAGCTCTTGTGGAGCAGTTTTAAGGTATATAGAGGCTCTCTTCCCTATGCATTCCGTTTTCGGTGGGTTATGGCTACCTTGATCGCCGGTAATTACTCAGACGGACATGGAGTTGGCGTTGTTCGCTGCAGATATGGTGTACCCACTTCTTATGCCTGAAGGGCTTCGTATTTTTTGTATACAACATTAGCTGTGATTTTGTGCCATGTAGGCATCATTCCTTATATTTGAAGAATAGAGCATAGTGAAAGTCCGGGTGCACCGATCTCTGACTTTAAATGTGCGATATTCCACTTGAGAAAGTTGGATGATTATTTATTAGTATAGAAGCTTGCTTGGAAGAAGTGATTACCCATTTCCTCTAGTCCATAACGATATACGCGGAATTCGAGAATGTTTTATATTTTTGTATTACCATTGTAACCAGCGGTGTTGTATACTTTGTATAATAAGAAGTCGAACTTGGGGCTTCGCATACGCCTTTCTACAGAGGAGCACTTTGGTAGTGATTTTAAGCGCATTGTCTAAGCTTTGAGCAATGTAGGGAGAGGTCACTTCGCGACGTCTCGCCATCTTGCATTCCGAACATGCACGCCAAGCGCGAGCTAACCATTTGCGGAAGCCATCTGGACCTGTTTGCATCCACAGTCGCGTCACAGATATTTTCGCTTATTTGGCAGCGGTACGTACCTCTTGCTACAAAACTTATCGTTAGCTGCGAAGCTGATGATGACTTCGAAGTCGCTTGTGTTGTGTTTCATATTCATTGTGTTTTTCGCCACTTCATTTTGACGGTGCATATTCCATTTGTACTAGTGATATCGTATACGTAAATTAAATGTTGCACAATTACATAGATTGCCCATTCTGCGCGCATTATTGAAAAATGAGCGCGATAGCCTTCAACCTCTTCTCATGAACGCCAACCATGCACTCTCACAATCTGCGAGGCAGGGTAGGTCGGTGGACGTAATCATTTGTGTTTGTTATGTAGAAAAAATTATATGTTTTACTAATTTGCATCAGTGTAGCCGATGTATTGAGGTGAATTGCTTGAGCAGGGTGTTCTAATTGTTTCTTTTCTTGTTATGTTGTACTCTTTTTAGATTCATAGGAATGGTTGTGGATTATTCACTCAAACACTTCCCACCGCATAGTTCACGTTCCGCATTAAGAACACGTTGGTTGTAATAATAATATTTGCTACGGTGCCCAAATGATGTACGTTTTCTAAGTAAATTATTTTTGTCCACATTTAGTCTTGTTCTGTGGGGATTTGGTACTGCAGTGCCACCTCCATCCTTCACATCCGACTTGTGCTTATCTTTTGTTATACAATCAAGTCATTTTTTGACCCGAGCTGTGTCGTGCGGTTTCATCATCATTCTTTTTCATCTTCTTTTACATCTTTTACGTCTTGTACACATATCCTTCTTTCTCTGAATATTCGTATCAAATCATCACTTCCATGAGCTCCGGGGATTGACGAAATAATAAGGTTCGTCTGAGGAAGGAGCGAAACGAACCATTTTAATTATTTCGTTTATAAAGGCTTTTTTCTTTTCTTAATTAGACCTCTATAATCGCACCTTAACAACATAGACATTAAGCCGCAAACAGTTGTTCGTACCCAAGCCGTTTTGTGGCGCACCAGTATGTCGCTCCGAACAGGGTCAAGCGAGGCGTCGAGGAAAATTCGGAAATACGACCCCCCCCCCTCCGCCGAAGGCCGAAGTCCATGAAACGAACCCTCTTCAAAAGCCGAACTATGAAAAGGTTGTTTAATTCTCCCCAAAACTGTTCATAAAAAAGCCCTGCTACCCCACCGTCCACCAAAAAATTCGTTTAAGTACAAAAGTGAAAAAGAATGATCATTATTGATGAGTCCTACCAAACGAGCAAACGAGAAACGGAGCAAAAAACGACAAACTAGCACTAAAAATGGCATACTATGACAACATCTCTTCTTTATTTATTTCCTTCCACAAGACTTACCAAATTCTAGTACTACACAGATTGTGGTTCTCAATTTACACGTCCCCCTTCAGTTGAAAGAAGCCTTGTAACCGCCTTAGCCAACTATATGTGTTGACTGGTTACAAGGCTTCTGTCAACCAAAGGGTGAGAGCGTAGCTGGAAAAGCACACACTTTGTGTCTTATTGGGACTAAGCCTTTTGAAGAAGATAAAGAAAGTGGAGATGCTGTGATAGTGTACATTTGTGAGAAAAACAGAGCAAATTAATTCAATTAATTAATCAAAGAAATCCTGCAAAACCATGAAAAGCTGAGTTGGGATGAAATGGTGCCCCGGTAGCGTAACTGGTAGCGCACTTGCCCGGAAAGCGAGAGGTGCGGGTTCTAGTCCCGCCTGGGGCGAAAGTTTTGTTCACAACCCAGCATTCTTGTGAAACATTCGCAAGGCGAACTGCGGCCAAAAAAAAACAGCAGTTAACAAACAAAACAAGTCAAAAATCCTGCAAAATAATGTTATGGACGCCTCATCTTGTCATCTATGCACTGTCTTTCATCGCTGCACACTTTTGTGTATTTACTGAAATATCGACTCGAGGAAAGAGGCATTAACTTTGTGTGACCTCAAAGTCAGGTTCGTTCAGAAATGCACAGAAATCCTGAAGGCACGGGGTTGCGATTCAATCTTAATTCCTGCTTGAGTATATCAAACAGCCGAGTGTATCAATTCAACGGCAGCTGCGGCGCGATTGTCACTGGGTCAGATTTGCTGAAATCCCGAAAAAAACCGTCGAAATCTACACCCTCGATGAAAAGGTTGCATTCCTCCATTTCATAACCTTTGAAGCAGTTTGAGGTAGGGTTAGATAGAGCTGGATTTCGCGTTTCCAAGAAGTATTGAAATTGCTCTGAAAGCCTTCTTGCAGAAAGATAGGGTCTCTCAAATTTCGTCGAGTAAACGTCGAGGATGCTGAAATTTTCTTCAAAAGCAAATCTCTCTAATGTCGTAAGATCTGAAAAAGGAAAAGAAAAGATAGTTTTGGAAAGCGGAAGGTTTGCGCTTTCTGATGGTCTTCTTAGCTTTCTTCTACATTTCCTAGTTGAGAAGATATCTGCGTCGAGTATGTATCGAGGACGGATCCGGCCACCTGAAAATCCGCTCCCTTCTTCACCATTGCAAGTGTAATTGTTGGCAACGCTTGAAATGGGTCTAGAAAACATCCTCCCAACATAAGCAATAGGAAAAGGGGCAATCGTCATCATCGAATTTTGTCTGAGTATAGGCCATGCATCCGACCTCACTCGAAGTTGCAGAATCGATTGAAGGTGTCATATGATCATGACCAGTTGACAGAAGCTGCATTGTAGTAAACGCATTTCGTAACTCCTACAACCTAAAGAACAACTTCATTTGCCCAGGGCTTTTCCTTCACGGTTGTCGTTTTTGCGACAGGGTCCCTAACAACAGTGTCATTCTCAGCGAGGTATTAAGGGAGAAGGAGCGAGCGATAGGCAGAGGAGGTGCCTTTGCAGCGCGTGCGCACATGTGGCAGTCTTCTTTGCGGGGATGCACTTTCATTCTTTGTACTGCCTTCAAATACGCCCTTCTCATGAAGGTGGAGGAATGGAGCGACTGAACCTGCAAAGAAATTTAATATCATGTTTTTTTCAGATATTTTCATTTTCTGCTGCGCTATACCCTCTTACCTATCTGCACCACGATACCACTGCTGTTACTGACCCCCAAGAGTACGACCCCCCATGACCCAGCCCGACAGGTACGACCCCCCTGTCGAGGATTTCCTCGACCGATATTCACCCTGGCGTGAGTGAGCTGCTTCAGTGCGGAGGTGACAATCAGCCACAGGCGTCTTGCTCACCCTCAGTATGAACCGTAACATCTACGTACGCCGCTCTCTTTTTTCTGAATTTTCGATATCTTTTCTCCTTTGATAACACATCGCTTTCGTGCTCAAACCTGCTATTTAAACTTTTTATGCTGCATCTTAATCACTTAAGCTATTCTTGATTGGTTTTTTTTATGTCACACGCTGAATACGGGCTCCTTATCCTGGTATATTGTGGTATGCGCCTTTTACCATGTTGAAATGCACAGGTATACAAAAACGTCGAGCGTCTCGCTGGCATCCGCTTGACGGCATAAGTTTTTTTGAATCTCTGCGAAATCCTTTTTTTCTGAAGTAATTAGAAAGGAGCAGCTATGGTGCTACAATAAATGGGTGGGGGGAGGGGACCATGCGGCGGCGCAGCGATCTGCTCGTTTGCTCTTCTAGGGCTCAGTCCAAGGAGCAGTTACTATTTCGTCCTCTAGGGCTTAGTCCAAGGAGCAGTTACTATTTCGTCGCCATGTGGCAATTTCAAAACCGTCGAACTAAGCCTTGGAGGAGAAGACGAACAGAGCGCCGCGCCGCCCGTGGTCCCCCCCCCAACCCACTTAGCACCGGGAGCTATATTTTTGTAGTCGCTTTACTGATTGGATATTCTTTGAGGAGGGGTTCTATGCTGATGCTAAGCTAGCCATTATAGAACTTCATTTTGTTTTGCTGCTTACGTGAATGATGTTGGTTTTTCGATAGTAAGACTCTTATTTAATTGATACGACAAACGCTTTACTAACGATATGATCGCGCAATAGAAAAACAATGAAATATCTTCTGAGCTTGAGCTAGCTTGAGTATGTTGTTGAGCTTCAGGTGTCTTCATCAGCAACATTGGGATAAGTGTCTTCTGTCTGAAATTCGTCAATTATTTGAAAATAGAGCTTCCCACATAACCTATCATTTTACTTATGGCTCCTTTATACGACTAAGGTTCTTAAATTCTGCTTCTCTGCTCTTTCTTCCTTATATTTCATGCACTTTCCGCGATTGTCTAGGTCATTGCAGTAGAAATGAGTCTTGGTGTTGTGTTCAGTCAATTATTTATTTATTTCATACGTCTAAAGAGACATGCCGGCCATCAGGGAGGAGTAGTAAACAAATCAATCTTCGCCCAATCAGTTAGCGATTAATAATGATATGAGGAAAGGAAACTGTTAGGCCGATGTCAGACTTTGCGAATCGCGCGATTCGCTAGCGTCTGCGGTCGCGTCGCGGCCAGTGAATCACTCAATTGGCTGGTACCGCAACGCGACCGCGGACGCTAGCGAATCGCGCGAATCGCTAGTAGCGAATCGCGCGATTCGCAAAGTCTGACATCGGCCTTAGGAAGCACGTTGCGTGCGAGTCGCATGGGCGTAGATAACCGCTTTTTGATTGGTCGACTTCTCCTCTGAACACTGTAAGACGCGATAAGTAGAACGGATCAAGGAGAAGGTCTCCACCCCTACAACTAGCGTGTAGTGCACTTTTGAGGGTTCCTAGCACTTTTCTTCACACCTTTCATTGCTTTTGATATTAACTTCACAAGTACTTGCATTATCGGGGCGCATATACGTACACTAGGTACCCGTGGAATGAATCTTTGAATTTCACAAGAGGAATGCTTTTCTGAGGACTGTGATCTTTCTTCTCTTCCTCTCCTACCTCCTCTTTTCTCCCATTTCTGCCTCTCAAAATATCAGGCACTACATGTTAGTGAAGTCTTGCTTGATACTTTTTCAGTGTCCCACTGTTGCGTTCCCAGATTTTACCTAGTACGTCAATCACGGTTTATACTCGGTATATTTGTGACTCTGCCTTTTCGAACGCCTATAACTGTCAGTGACTTCTACGAACTCTATGAGCAAACTTGGTTCGTACCACACCAGTTATAGAAGTCATTTCCAATGCCCTGACAGCGGAGGAAGGTTCAGCAGGAAGTTAATGAGGGTGTTGTCAAAAGAAATTTGAAGCGGTGTAGTGAAGATTTGAGAACTCGTTCGTAATCCACTGTATCAATAGCAATGAAATGCTCTGATAGCTTTGAATGAGCCAAAAAGGAAAAGCATTACGGTAACCTCTTCCGAATATTCTTGATATATTATATGTCGAACGATGACGCATATTATTACAATAACGATTATTCCCAACAGCGGTACGGCAACTAACAACAGTCCGTTGTCAAACTAAATAAAAATACTTTATCCTTGAAATTAGAGTTGCACTGTGTAGAAACTCTTGCAGGTATTTTTTGCTATTTTAGGAGAGGGGCTAAGAAAAGATTCTTATACGGTTGGTGTGATACCTTTGTGGTGGAAGGAGTGGAGCAGTATTTGATTTTTGGAGCGTCGTAAGTGGGTAGGGAATGTGGATGGGCAATAAGCGTAACAAGTGAAAATCGCTTATGCTCAGGACACGTACCGCTCCCCAACCCCCTCCCCCCCCGTTTACCCACAATTTCGATGGAATGATAGGGGTGGAGTTTGAGCCGTTTCGAAGGGGTCGTACTGCCGCGGCAATTTCCTTACAACGCGACGTTATCTGCGTTCGACCTCTACCACCGAGTGAGTATAGTCGAATGATGCGTTGCTTGGTTACTCTCATTTCCTTTAAAGGAATCTTCCGCGGAAAAAGCTCCGCCTCCATTACCACAGAAAAACGATACCCCTTAGGCCCCTAGCCTCATGAGCATAGCAAAAAGAACGGAACATAAGCGTTAGTTTCGATAATACTAATCCTACACACAAGACAAAATGATCACTCTTTCCGTGGAAGATTCCTTTAAGGTATCGTTTTCTGTGGTAATGAGGGCGGAGCTTTTTCCGTGGAGGATTCCTTTAAAGTTCTCCTCGGCTTAGCGGCAATTCACGGAACCTCAAACCGTCATCAGAGCGCCCCTACTGAAGTTTTCATAAGCAATGTTTCTTCCATGTCTTCATCAAGCCAGCTGTATGTTCCCTACAGTTGTTTTCCATTCGTTTTCCATACCCTGCATACGCGGGATTTCCCTTTCATAGTGCGATCCTGGCCTCTATGCTCCTTTCTGCAATATCGTTCGATGCAAGGACGAAAATGTTAAGTATTAAGTTACGAGAGTATTAGGTAAGGTAATAAAATATTTGGGGGACATGCGATATCGTGAATTTAGTTACATGCACAATTAAGCTCAGCCCCATGTCTGTAATTTTTGAGATAAAATGTTGACGCAATCCTGCTGAATGTTCCATTGTTTGGAGCAGCAGGAATGTCAAGAAGGTGACACATTAAAGGATATAAATCGATAATATGTGCGGTTCTTCCGACCTTTCACTACAAAAGACGTCCTGAATCATACTGTGCGTTATCCCTTTTTAAGAAGTAAGCGCATATGCATTGGTTTGCAAGTGAGACGGAATGAACCATAAATTAATTGAAGCAATTTATTCTTGGTTGCGCAATGCACTCGATCAGCTCTGCAGAGGGTTGAGGATAGCCATTTGGCAGAAACGGGTATGATAAGAGGATGATCTAAGAAAATGAAAAAAGGCACGAAAGAGAACTGTTGGAGAGAGATTCAAAGGGATAGAACCATGGAAAACACTAAAATTGTAGGCTTCATTTTTTGCGTGGTTGACCGTGGTATGACGGAGAGGACACGGCTCAGCGAGAAGAGGAGTGTGCGAGAGAGAACCCGGAATGGGAGGGCGCAGAGACGCGTGCGCTGCGAGCAAGTGAAAATGGCAGCGTTTGCAGCAATGAAGCAAGGCCTTAATGCATTTTCTAGGTCGCAACAGTACCATCACTCTTGTGCTTGGGGATTGCTATTCACTCATTAAAGAGAAAACTGCTACAAGGGTTTCAACGCAACCCTCTCCGCTCATGTCGGATCACGCACATTGCTGATCGCACGGGCGGGCATTGCGCCACGCTTCTGCGGAACTCTGTTTGATCTCGCTCCTTTGATATGTAAAATTAGCTAAAAAGATGGAGCCAACCAATGAGATTATTGTAGGGTCCTCCACAACTCTGCTCAAACGATGGTCGCAATCTGATTTCAAGGGTTCTCAGAGATTCCTTCGCTTTCTTCTATTATTGATCAACCAGTCATTACAGCTACTGTTGATTTTTCGAGCAGTAGACTACACCTGTTCATCGTGGGAATGTGCCTTTAAGTCAACACCCTTTGTTGTCATTCAAGCAAGGTAGTCAATGGGATGGCTCGGTTAGCCATTCGCCCGTCTCACTGATCGTGCACTTTTTCATCCTTGACCGGCTCGTGCTTATAAAAACCTTGTGTGACAAAAACTGCTCTGTGAAGGGGAAGATTCTTTCATTTTCAAAATTCATAAAATAAATCGACAAACTCTTTGAGGCTTGACGACATCGGGTCCACCAATAACAAGCATAGCAAGCATTTCGCTATTTTTTGGATCTTGGCCATGTGAAGCTTTGTTCAATTTTATCCTTCCGTAGTCGTATAGCCTGAATGAACGCAAGCTTGTTAAAGGAATCTTCCGCGGAAAAAGCTCCGCCTCCATTACCACAGAAAAACGATACCCCTTAGGCCCCTAGCCTCATGAGCATAGCAAAGAACGGAACATAAGCGTTAGTTTCGATAATACTAATCCTACACACAAGACAAAATGATCACTCTTTCCGTGGAAGATTCCTTTAAGGTATCGTTTTCTGTGGTAATGAGGGCGGAGCTTTTTCCGTGGAAGATTCCTTTAAGGTTTATGTTAGAAAGGGACCGGTCCGAAACTTTTGTTGAACGTAAACCATACTTGTCTAACTGCTTCCTCGTACAAGTGAAATCCACGTCGTAACCGATGTCGGGTTCGAGTATGACGTCACCTATTCGCGATGACATTCCCTTGTAGAAATGATCATTAGGAAAGCCCTTAACTACCATTAGACATGAAAAGATCGCAGCAGTTGAGCTGTATAGTAAGATCTAGGTCAAATTGAGATTGTATGATGGAGTCGAGGGTGACTTCTGTGCCTTGATAGAATATTTCACACTTCGACAACCATACAACTGCATATGGGCTGCAAGCTGTGAATAGCGTCGGACTTTGAGACCTACATTAGGGCTGTAGCCATACCCATTTTCATTTTGCTTTTTTCTATTTTTTTGAATTGTCTAGTTTTGAAAATGTGTACAGTAAGCTTTTTCATGATGGGTAAAGAATACAGTGGTTGCAAGCGATCGCAAAAAGGTGAACCTTTGTGGGCCAAAAACAGCTATCCTTTCGGATGTTAAAATGAAGACAGGTGATACGGTAGTTAGGTCCTCCCTGAAAAAAGTGGAGCTGGTCGATGCACCAGTGGAGCAAAAAGGGGAAGGCGATCTGAAACCCTCAGAACAGAACCCTCGTTTCCCTGTTGCTCTCCGCAGCTCCATCGGTGTTGACGTCAACTATGTGAATGCACTGATCTGATTATCTACCAGGAAAGCCAAATTTCGATAGAGTAAATCATCTTGCTGGTAGGCGGCAGATGGTCGAGGGCACTGTAGAAGGTAGGAGCGCATCCTTCACACGGGAAGCTCTCTTTAACTGGCGGGAACGGCACCTGGTCGTCGCTTGGGGGGTCGTTTCGATGGTGGGACACATTTTCTCCTTCTTCAACATCTAATTTCATGGGTCACCTGCCCTTGAGTCAGGAAGGACAAAGTTTGTGGTTGAAAAAACGACTTCATTTTCAGAATATAAGATGAATAGTAGTTGCAACCTTCCAATCAAGATGACATTAACTTTTATTTCGTATTTTTGCATTTTATATTTCGTATATTTATGTTTTATATTTATATATTTTTTTGTATTTTATATTTTTTTTATATTTCGTATTTTATTTCGTCTCGGTGACTTCATTTTCCTCTCTCTCTGCCATATGTATGTAATTAAAAAACTCATGATTTAGATATTTTGTTTCAAATTTGGCGATATCATGAGTGGATGACACATTCGGAGCTAGTGTTTTTGAGGATTGATATGTTTAGCAGAAACGCAATACCTAATTCCGTACGAACAAAAATCAGAATATTATAATAAATCCTCGAAGTTAAAGAGTGTGCAGGGTTCCGCTTTTACAAATGCTGGCGTTGTCGACTATTTAATAAGTTCCTTTCCCTCTTTCCTTTAGTTTCCTTCATTTTCCGTTGTTTCTACTCGGCTGAAAAGGCAAACAAAACTAGCACTCACATGTTTTGTAAAAACTCTGATCTTCAAAAGTGTCTCATCCACAGCATTTGATAGATTATTATACACTTCACGAGCAAGGGCTTGAGTATCGGTGTAAATCATGTTGTGGCCAAACTTGACTCGCTTGAAGATCCACATAATCCTTGACACAGAATATGTTTTTTGCGCCGTTAATCTGTAATAGCATTTCTTTTTCTCGCGGGAAATTGTTGTTCCAGCTTTAGGTTCAGAAAAGGTTCAAGATTCAGAAAGCGGGGTATAGGCCATGCCACTAGAGAAGTTCAAGGGCAAAATGACTCAAATGTCTGTTTGACCATGCACAGATTATGCTCTCAAAGAAATTCCCCAGTAGGCTGTGTGGAATTACTTTTTCCGTGAGGACGGCGGGGCAGTCTGCAAGCAACGAGGTGTGAGCAATTTCGTGGCATGGGGGAAAGGAGCGAAGAGATTTTGATGCAGGCCCAGGAACGCTTAAAAGACTGATAATTGTTCTGAAGTGGAAGCGAGTGGATGCGTGGGTGTCTGCGCCTTCTTTGATCCCTTGCTCTCTCTCGCTCTACACCTTCCATTCCACTTGTGCTCTCTCATCTCAGTGCTTGTTCAAGGAAATCTCGTGCATTGCTTTGAAACGTTTTGCAAAAGATGGGCGGCTCAGAGCGTTTCTAATGATTACTTTTGATTTATTCATCAACGGGTCTGGTGCACTAGGACAGAAAGGCCGCGTTCATAGTTCGCGACTCCGGAGATTAGGATAGTACGCGACAATGAAAAACATATGTATTGACGGGGAGATTAGGATAGTAGTAGATTAGGATAGTAGTAGAGTAGGAGATTGCGCTGACAAGATTAGATACGTATCGATTGAAATCGCTGGAGAGTAGTAGATTGGGCGACTTCAAGCGAATAGATCAATACATATCTAATCTTGTCAGCGCACTATCCTACTACTATCCTAATCTCCTACTCTACTACTATCCTACTATCGTAATATCGCAATCTACTACTCTCCAGCGATTTCAATCGATACGTATCTAATCTTGTCAGCGCAATCTCCTACTCTATCTCTACTACTATCCTAATCTCCCCGTCAATACATATGTTTTTCATTGTCGCGTACTATCCTAATCTCCGGAGTCGCGAACTATGAACGCGGCCTAAGCGACCTTTTCGAGTTTGGTGCGCGAAACATTTTTCTCTGCGGGAACCTCGGGTCCACTGATGATCAGCGGTGGACCTGAGGTTCCCGCAGCGAAAAATGTTTCGCGCTGCGAAGGTCGTTTTCTGTCCTACTGAACCACAACCTTCATCATAGTTGCGTATCACTTACGGTTCCAAATTTGAACCACAATATCCACCTCTGCTACCTTGGAGTCTGCTACGGCATCGTAGGTATTCCGCGTGAAAGACGAATGGTGACATTCTATTGAGGCTCCCAGCACATAAGCGCAACATAGCTTACAAAAAAAAACAAAGCTGCTTTGGGATCGAGCCTTATCTCTCTTAGGTGGTTTCCTGAAGATAATGCATGCCAACGCGACGCCTTTCAGCCGCTGCGCTATATAACAGGGGGACGAGCCAAAAAAAGACATTTTGCCCAGGTCGCACTTCGGCCTTTTTTTCTTCGCAGAGATTGCCGTCGTTGACGGAAGTTCCTCAGCAAAATATTCCCTAAATGTCCCTCTATAAGTACACGCAGGCCCTCCTTCACTGCCCTCACCGTCTTCAGAATATGACGTCATCTGTCACCGTCGTCGAGCTCAGGGAGGCCTACAGTAACTGCTTCAGCCTGAAGCTCTTACATAATTTCTTGGATCGATTCAACGTGGGATAGTTTCCTAGGGACATTAGCTCTAACTATGCAAACCCCCTCGGAACCCGCCTTCGGAACCCGTCGTAACGGTACACGATCAGTCGAGAACCCCATTGAGCTCGACCAGAGCACCATGTTTCCGGGGCAAACTTTTCTGATGCCGTCCACGTAGATGGCCACTATGAAGATTTTCTTATGAAATGAAATGCGCTCTTCAATTCTAAGTTGGGAGCACACGCTTTGAGCTGAGCAAAGTGTGATTAAATCCATTTGAGTCTGGAGACAAAATGTCTTTTTTTATTGGTCTCCCCCCCCTGTACACTGCGCGCCTCCCCTCTCGTTCCAGCCTTCATCCCTTCCCTCCTATACTCTAGCGTGAGTTTTGCTTTCAGGACGGTAACGCAATTTTTATAGACAGTAGATGAAATTTCGGGTGTAGAAATCCGATGACTGTTTTTGAGAGAAAGTGCCAGACCTGTTCATTTCCATGATCAGATGTCAATATGATGTTGACTTCCTTCGTAAGGCCACGCTTTTCCATTTCACTGATCAAATGTCCAAAAACTTCATCAAGTCGGGACAGTGTGTTCACATATGCACCGTCATAAAAGCCGTGCGTATGAAGTGTAGCGTCGGGTTCATCAATAAACCTTCAAAAATGACGTGATACTTTGTGGAGTTGAATTTAATGTTATAAGGTTTAATAGAGGCAGCTAGCAAAATGACTGG